AATTTGGGGGTCTCCCTCATGGTGCAGGGGTGACTCTCAGCACGAGTTAGATCCCCAGCCAGGGAGGGACCCCAGGGTGCATGCAGCAGGCCCCTCCTGTCTCCCCGCTGCTCCCCTTCGCCGTGGGTCTCAGTGGATCCACCTGTCCTGCTCCCCGCTCTGGCTCTAGGGTGTCCTCGCTCCCCCGCACCATGGCCCACACCCCAGCTCTTGCATGCACGAACAAATAAACCTATAAAAAAAATTGGGGGGTCTCCCTTGCATTGCGGGCGTGAGTCTCAGCACAAGCCTGATCCCCGGCCCGGGAGGGACCCCGGGGCGCAGCGGACCCCTCCTGTCTCCCCACTGCACCCCTCAGCCCTGGGTCTCAGTGCATCCGCCTGTCCTGCTCCCCGCTCTGGCTCTGGGGTGCCTCTCACCCCCGCACCCCAGTTCTGCATGCATCGACGAATAAATCTTTAAAAAGAATCTGCTAAAGAGCCTGTCTGCTGGGGAGCGCTAAACCCCTGGCGCCTCACTGCAAACTGGGGTCATGTCTGCAGGCAGCAGGTGCGTGCGGGTCCCACGTGCCGGCTGGGGGTCACCGTGGGGCACCAACACCTGACGCAGGTGCTCACCCCTGGTCTGCAGCTCCCTGAGTCCCCACAGGCGTCCCCCAGGGCGCGGCGGTGAGGACCCTCCCGCGGGGCCCAAAGGCAGGACCCCGTCGCCCGGGTCAGCGGGTTCCTGGCTCAGGAGCTCGTAAAGACGGCGCCCGGCGTTTACGGGGCTCTCTCAAGCCCCAGGCCTCCCACCCGAGGGGCCCCACCGGGCCCCGAAACCGCCTGGCCTTGCGTGCCTGCGAGACCTAATGACAGCTCTGCGCTTTTATGGAGCCGGGCCGGGAGCACAGCCCGGAGGACTTTCACGAGGCCGGTGGAGTGGACGGAGAGCTGGGGCTCGGGTGAGGGGGATCTCTGTGCAGGCGCCCCGGGACCCTAAAAGAGGAGACGCCCCGTGGCCCAGCGATGCCCCCGTAGGAATCGACTCAAAGGACCCAGAAGATTAATTCTAAGGCAGCCCTGTATTTTCTTTCTTTGCAGCTCTAGTCATCAAATCTAAAAGATTTGGAAACCCTAAAGGCGAAGATGTGGGCTGGATCCATAGCGGAGTACTACGCAGCCACGAAAAAGGTGAGCCCTGGGCCTTTGGGGCCAACACAGGAGCGCAGAAGGAAATACAGAGGTGGATGTTTCTCAGGAGACGCGGTGCTGGGGGGACCACGGGGACCTGGACCCCGCAGGGAAGTGAAAAAATAAATACAGTTTTTTAAATGGCGATGAACCAACGGCCTTCAGGTATACACTGCTCTGGATACAGGTGCGTGTTGCACATGGGGCCTCCTGTCTCCTGGGGACCGGCCTGGCCACGGCCCCCCGCCACCTGGGAGCCGGACTTGCAAGCCGTTCCTTTCAAAGGACGGGGTGAACCCAGTGACCCCCAGTGCCTTTGAAGCCCGGCCAGCCTGAGCGGAAACCAAAACAGCAATTAGCCCGGCCTTTCATCCAGCAGCAGCAGGAGG